TACCGCGTCATCCATTACGTCATTTACCGCGTCATTCAGGCCTGTGATAGATGTTTTGGGACACACACACACACACACACACTAGCCCTCTGTCTTGGCACTTATTATTGTTATATTTTATCACTGCACTGAGGTCTTTAATTAGATTAGTTTAGGTTGGGTTATTACTTACACCAGTCATCATAAACAGTTATAAATTATAAGTTATTTATCTTTTTGGTAACTAAAAGATATCCCAACCTAACCTAACCCAATATCCTGGACGGTGGGGAGGAGGGGGTGGTGGGGGATGGGGGGTGGGGGGAGAATACCTAGTACACTAAAAATAAAAAAATTCAACGAATTGATGGATTCCTAAGAACTCAGACGTGTGAGGCAGTGTTACCAGAGCCAAGGAACACCAATAATAGTATTACCAGTTTAGCGGAAGAAACGTCAAAACTAGCGCATTTCCGACTCTCTTGTGGGTGATAAGTCAATAGCTATTTCCGCTAGTAATATTTTTTTTAGCTGATTTTGAAATTTTTGGAAGGATTATATATAGGAATTATATTATAGTTGTGATAGATATATAATTTTGGGGGAGAATTAGTTATATAAGGGTTAAAATAGTAGGGAATTATTATGGTAGGTGGGTGTCAGGTAGATGCCTTCACTCTTCATAAGAACATAAGGAGTCTGCAATAGGCCTGTTGGCCTGTGCATGGCAGCTCCTGTCGAGAGTTACTACCACTCTCTATCATCCATGAATTTATCTAGCCTCCTTTTGAAACTTTCCAGCGTTCCAACACTTACTACAAAGTTGCTAAGCTTGTTCCACTCGTCCACCACCCTATTTGTGAACCAGTTCCTTCCTATCTCCCTCCTAAACCCTAAACTTATCAACTTAAATCCGCTGCTACGAGGTCCTGTCATAACCGGATGTATAGAAATTTTATCTATATCCCTTTATTGATTCCTTTCACCCACTTAAATACTTCTATCATATCTCCCCGCACTCTTCGTCTTTCTAGGGAATGCAAGTTAAGTTTCTTTAACCTATCCTGATATGGAAGGTTTCGAAGTCCCTGAATCATTTTTGTCATTCTTCGCTGCACCGACTCTAGTGAATTTATATCCATTCTATAATAGGGGCACCAGAACTGAACAGCATAATCGAGGTGCGGCCTGACTAGCGCAAGATATAGTTGCAATAAGACCTCTTATTACTTACACTTCTAGATATAAAACCCAATACTCTGTTTGCCTTATTTCGAACATTAACGCACTGTTTTCTAGGCCGTAGGTCCGGGCTTACAAGTACCCCTAGGTCTCTTTCACAAGTCGACTTCTCTAGGTTGATGTTGTTAAGGCTGTATGTTCTTATGTGTGTGTGTGTGAGGTCAAGGTTAAATATGGTAACGAATCTTCTTCTCATTTTCTTCTTTTCCTTAATTTTTTCATAAAGTTTTGCTCTTCTTCTTATTTCTTCGGTTTCTTCAATTTTCTTCTTATTCTTATTTCCATCTTTCTTCTTTTTCTCTTATTTTTGTCTTTTTCTTCCTGTTTCTTGTTCATCTATTTTTCTCGTTGCCTTTTTCTTCAGTTAAACATCAAGTGAAGATCAGTAAATGAGAGAGAGAGAGAGAATTACCTCACTTCACCTCAATGGCGTAAGTAATCGATAAAGCCCTCTTCCTCCCTTCCTTCTTCTCTTCCTCACCCTCCCTCCCTCCCTTACCTTCCCTCCTCTCCTTCCCTCCCTTACCTTCCCTCCTCTCCTTCTCTCCCTCTCTCCCTTTTGTTGGACGGGTCCTTTGGAAGCCATTGTAAGATGTTGTAAATAGATACCCGGTCTCTCTCTCCTCTCTCTCTCTCTCTCTCTCTCTCTCTCTCTCTCTCTCTCTCTCTCTCTCTCTCTGCACAGACTAATCCGCCGCCTTAATACGAACTCCTTCCCAGCCGTGACCTTCCAGTAAACCTGGGTCACGGTAGACGAAAAGAAAGCGACCATATAAGGATCAATCCATCACACGCTAATCCTACCCCCCTCCCCTTCCCTCCCCCTCCCTACGGCCGGGTTTGATGCCTCCCCACCTCCTCCACTTTATCGTTCACCTTGTCACATCTCTCTCTCTCTCTCTCTCTCTCTCTCTCTCTCTCTCTCTCTCTCTCTCTCTCTCTCTCTCTCTCTCTTCCTTGATTCATATCAGTCATGTTTCTTCTCCTTTCATCAATTACAGGATGGGTCCCAGGCTGGGCGATATTTGAGGATATTTAAAAGTGTCAGATTAAGGCAGTTAGTTTCCGTTATTACTGGTCCTTCTGGTAGCAGTTCTGTTGTTGTTTTCTGTTTTGTTGTTGTTATTCTTCGTCTTCTTCTTGTTTATTATTATTATTATTAGGTCAGCACTACCACCACTACTACCAACCGCTACCACACCCACTACCACAACTACTACCACTATCATAACAACCATTACTACCATCACTACCGTTGCCACCAGTACTACTACCACAACTAATCGGACACCCGGACACCACTTCAGGTTGTTAGATTGAACACGTGACTGAGGAGAAGCGAAAATTGTGTTGAGTTTAGTGGGGAGGGGGAAGGGGTGAGGGAAGAGGAGGTAGGGGAAGGTAGGGAGTAAGGGTAGAGGGTGAGGTAGGGGGAGGAAAGGGGGAAGAGGGTGTATTAACCATTTCTTAGCCACACAAGGGCTTCCTCAGTCTTATTTATCCGATTTGGGGGGGACATAAACTGGACACCTACTTTAACCCTTTCAAATTAGGACACCTGCCATAATCATTTTCAAATTAGGACACCTGCCATAACCCTTTCAAATTAGGACACCTGCCATAACCCTTTCAAATTAGGACACCTAAGAACATAAGAATGGAGGAAACTGCAGCGGGCCTATTGACCCATACTGGGCAGTCCCGTTTACACCCAACCCCTATTGCTCATATAAGCATCCAACCTATGTTTGAAGCTATCCAGCGTATTCGAGTTAATGATGATATTTGGTAACTTGTTCCATTCATCCACTACTCTGTTTCCAAACCAGTGTTTACCTATCTCGCGCCTAAATCTAAATTTGTCTAATTTAAAACCATTGTTACGAGTTCGCTCCTGGTTGGATAGTTTTAGTACCTTTGTTATATCACCTTTGTTTAGCCCTGACTTCTACTTATACACCTCTATCATACCGCCCCTCAATCTACGTCTCTCGATTGAGTGCAAATTAAGATGCTTTAACCTGTCTCTGTACTCAAGGTTCCTAATGCCCGGGATTAGTCTTGTCATTCTCCTCTGGATTCTTTCCAAGGATTCTATATCCATTCTGTAATAAGTGACCAGAACTGAACTGCGTAATCCAGGTGAGGTCTCACAAGCGCTAGATATAGTTTTAGGATGACCTCGCTAGTCTTGTAACTAACACTCCTTTGTATGAGCCCAAGTACTTTATTAGCCTTGTTACGAGCAAAAACACATTGTTTACTTGGCTTAAGATTCCTACTTATCATTACTCCTAAATCTCTCTCGCAGTCGGATTCCACAATGGCATCGTTGTTCATCTGGTAACTGGTTTCCCTGTTTACATCTCCTACACCTGCCATAACCCTTTCAAATTAGGACACCTGCTATCATCCCCCAAGTTAGGACACTGTCAGGTCTTGGACAATGAGAAAATGTCTTTGCAGTTAACGATATGCAATTGGGGGGTGAGGAATTTTTGGGACACCTAAGATAGTGGACATTCTTGGCACCAATACACGAGGTCACTGAGCATTTGTGTGGGATAATTTAAGATATGTAAATTGTAAATAAGATGTGAGGGAAGATGTGTAAATTGTAAATAAGGGATCAGGAAGGATGTGTAAATTATAAATTAAGTGTGAGGAAAGATGTGTAAATTGTAAATAAGATCAACTTGGAGTAAACGAATTCACATTGGCATCTACAAGGTGCTGTTGGGTTTTAATGAGAGGGCGACACACACACACACACACACTCACACACACACACACACACACACACACACACACACACACACACACACACACACACACACAGGAGGAGGAGGGGTGTAGCAGTAAGGTGCCCTGGTATATACTGTGTAGTGTGTAGAGAGAGACCTCTTCCTTCCTTCCTCCTCCTCCTCCTCCTCCTCCTCCTCCTCCTCCTCCTCCTCTCCTCCTCCTCCTCCTCCCTCCTCCTCCTCCTTCTCTTCCTCATCTTCTAACTTGTCTTTCTCCCTCTTTCTTTTTATCTTTTTTGTCAATTTCCTCCTATCTCCTGCCTCCTCCTCCCCCTTCCTCCCTTCTCTGTTTCCTCCTCACCCCCCCCTTCACTCCTCCTCCCCTTCCTCCTCTTCCCCCTTCCTCCTCTTCCCCCTTCCTCCTCTTCCTCTCCTATATGTTCTTTTATTTCTCTCTCTGTCTCCATATTCCTCCTGTGATCTTGTTTTTCCACCACAATTAATTCACTGCCACCAAGATGTTTACACTCACGAGGTATTGTAATAAATCAACAGTGTTTTCCCTCTTTATTTACTATGTATGTTTAGTGAGTGTGTGGCAGCTGCTTATCACCCGTCACATCAACCGAGATCTAAAGAGAACACCTTCAGTTTCCACACTCGTAACAACAACGAATAACAACGACAATTAGACGACGTACGAGTGTTGTGGTTGGTTCAGAAGTCGTCGTGACGTCATTGATATATCCGTGACGTCACTCTTGTAAATAAACAGGACCTAAGCTCTCGGAGGAAGATGGGTTTTTTTTTTTATGGTTGACCTTTCGTTGTGACCTTGACCTCTGGGTAATGGTCAATAAATTTTTACCACTTTATTTTGGAGTTTTGTTCTCTTAATAAACAAAGATTTATTCACATTGACCTGGTAGTCTCTTTGTTATAACAGAGTTTAATATTATTCCTCCGGACGTGAACTGTGTACCGAGTTTCTCTTATTAACCTAATGCTTCTCTACCTGTTCTTTGTTGATTACAGGTGCAGACGCGGCTGGAGAACCCGACCTACTACCACGTGTTACAGTCACAGCGTCGTCAGGTGCGGCAGTTCCTCTCTGGGGGCGGTTCTCCTCAGGACACCCCGCCCTCGTCCCTCACCCCAGCGCCCCCAGCTTGGCCCCACTCTGACCCCGGCGTGCCACGTGCGTCCGCCCCCCATGGTATGTATACTGGTGTTTACTCTCATGGTATGTATAGTATTTCCCCCTCCCCATGGTATGTATACTGGTGTTTCCCCCTCCCCATGGTATGTATACTTGTGTTTCCCCCTCCCCATGGTATGTATACTGGTGTTTCCCCCTCCCCATGGTATGTATACTTGTGTTTCCCCCTCCCCATGGTATGTATACTGGTGTTTCCCCTCCCGTGGGTATGTATACTTGCGTGTTTCCTCCGGGGTATGTATGGTCATGTGTGTTCACAGGGTATGTATGCTGTGTGTCCCCCAAGTGCAGGGAAGGGAGGGAAGGGAGGCAAGGGGGGGAGGAAAGGAGAAGGAGGGAGGGAGAGAGGAAGAGAGAGGGAGGGAGAGAGGAAGAGAAGAAGAGACGGAGGGAGAGAGAGAGAGATGGAAGGAGAGAGAGAGAGAGAGGGTTAATCTTTGGCCATAATGAGTAATAACCTGTAAACACACATTAAACCAATACTCCTTAGTACGGTAACTTATACTAATTATTGGACAAAACAAACAACACTCAACTATCACACGACTCATTAAATACTTATCGAACTGTCAGATGAAAAACTATATACAAAAAATTTTACTGAACGAATTTTGTCCGAAAGTTTTGTCCGATAACTGGATAAAAAATAATGTGACTTGAAAAGGTGGATTTGGCACCAGCACGAGTCCAAGGGTATGTATACTGTGTGTCAGGGTATGTATACTGTGTGTCAGGGTATGTATACTGTGTGTCAGGGTATGTATACTGTGTGTCAGGGTATGTATACTGTGTGTCAGGGTATGTATACTGTGTGTCAGGGTATGTATACTGTGTGTCAGGGTATGTATACTGTGTGTCAGGGTATGCACAATGTGTCAAATTATGTATACTGTGTCAGGGTATGTATATATGTGTCCAGGAACATGTATACTGTGTGTAGAATTATGTATACTGTGTGTCAGGGTATGTATACTGTGTGCCAGAATATGTATACTGTGTGCCAGAATATGTATACTGTGTGCCAGGGTATATACTGTGTGTCAGGGTATGTATACTGTGTGCCAGGGTATGTATACTGTGTGTCAGGGTATGTATACTGTGTGTCAGGGTATGTATACTGTGTGTCAGGGTATGTATACTGTGTGTCAGGGTATGTATACTGTGTGTCAGGGTATGTATACTGTGTCAGGGTATGTATACTGTGTGCCAGGGTATGTATACTGTGTGTCAGGGTATGTATACTTCTGTGTAAGACTTATCAGGCATTATGAATTATTTGACTGAGAGTGGATGGGTGGCTTGGGTGGTTGGGTGAGTGGCTTTAATGAGTGACCTTGGTGGCTTTGGTTGGGTGTTTGCAATGGGTGGCCGTGATAGACAGCGAGACAGAGAGAGAGAGAGAGACAGAGAGAGAGAGAGAGAGAGAGAGTGGGTTTGACAGGTAAAAACTTTCACCATAACATTACCATGCTGCTCAGGTAGGAATATTACCTATCTAGTACCTAACCTACCTACCTGTACCTACCTGTACCTACCTGTGTATTCCGGCCATCACCCTCACACACACCTGTATACGGTTTACGAAGTTGGACCTATATACACTGATTTTTTTTTTCAAGGGTGAACGAAGATGTAAATAGTTAACTTTTTGTTTCCCCAGGATGAATGATGTTTTTTTTTTCCATGTTGTATAGAAAGATCATGAATATTAGGATTTGTTTTCATATGACGACTTACGAATCCTTGAGAATATGTCAATGAGGGAATTGAGGTCACATACACACACACACACACACACACACACACACACACACACACACACACACACACACACACACACACACACCCCTAATTTTGTAAACTGTATCACTCTGTTTAAGTTATGTGTTTACGCCTTTATATTGATTTTATTGATTGTAAGAGAGCCATTAGCAAATCAAGGTGCCATTGTTAGAGCTGAGGGTTGGCGACCACAGCCCTCCACTTACAAACGTTCTCAATATTTACTAATTCTCCCACACTTTGCGTCTCTCTCACTTATCTACCTCTCCCCTGTCTTTCATACCTTCATTTTCATTTTTTTTTGCATTATTCACACATTTATTACATTTTATCCCATATTGTGGACAT